TATATATATATATACATATATACATATACATTGTGTCTGATCAAACAATCACTGGCAGACCCCTGACCCTCCTATGGGTGGTTATAATATCTGCAGAAAGTTTATACACTGCTGCTTTTTAACAGCTATAAAAGGAATATAAATATATATTTTTTTACCCATAAATGGTGTAGTTACAGCATTGACCAGCAGGGGCTAAGTGGACAATGCTAACTAGCCTTGACAAACCTTGACCTCTTAATGGTTCAAAATCCTGCTCATGTTTGCCATTAAGATAAGAAATGGAACTAAAAAGGGTTAACAATCTCATTGAAAGCTGAAAGTGTAGTATAAGATGTCACTATCCCTCCATTAACCCAATCATTTCCCCAATTTTTCTAACGATGAAAGTAGATTTGATCCTGGTGCATTTGCATTATGCAAGTTCATAAGCGATTGGAAAGCACCCAGCAGTGCTCCATCAAACTAAACTGGGAGGTAAAAGCTTTTGGTTCCCATCAGTAACCTGCCTACTTGCACTTAAAGTGACTCCATCCATCATGGCACTACATAATTTCCTGTAGTGATAATGTCGGAGTTTGGGGGAGTGAGAAACATCGCAATGTGTTAGTGACCTATTGGACATCCAATCAGATATCGACTAATGCAGATGGAAGAGATTAGATCAGTCTGATTGGCTGATCCACCAGTAATGGATTGGGCATGTCAGAGAGGCCGCGTCTTCTTTCTCATAACAGAGTGTGAATGGGACAGTTTGTCACTGAATATTGAGGATATAAAGCTTCTATGGACAATTATGAAGTGGGCATTCATTAAGTTCATGTTTTATGACTTTGCTCTATCCTTCTGTGTCTATCCATTCTCTAGCTCTTTACCCCTCCCTCTCTGTGTAAATCACACATGGAATGATACTGTTATACATTAAGAAATCATGTCTTACTTCAGGTCTTGGAATGGTTCAGCTCGAACATGTGGCGTTTCCACTGAATGACTAAACACAACTCCCTCATTGCCTAGAGAGATAAAGAGAAAAACAGAGAGTGGCAAGTCATATAGTTGAACTAGAACTGTACAAAATAAATAAATAAATAATTTAAAAACACATAAACCTACAACAAATGTCACAAAGCGTGAATATACATTGCCATACAACTTTGTGAACAAATTAACATTTGTGAACAACCATTCAGTTACCACACTTTTAAAATAACAGCAGAACTTTATGTTGTAAAATACAGCTCAGTATATTATTATTATTATTTTATTTTTCAAGGAATTCATTATTTTATTAAACAAGGATGCATTAAATTGATCAAAAGTGACAGTGAAGACATACAGTATATACGGTTTATTTCAAATAAATGCTGTTCTTTAAAACTTTTTTATTTATCAAAGAATCCTGAAAAAATGTCACCTTCCAAAAAAAAAAAAAACACACATTGATAAAAAAAATTTGGAAAAAATTTAATAAAAAAGCACAAACAATTTTAACTGTGATAATAAAAAGAAATGTTTATTGAGCACCAAATCAGCATATTATAATTATTAATAAAGGATCATGTGACATTGAAGACTGGAGTATTGGCTGAAAAGTTGACTTTGCCATTAATGGAATAAATTACATTTTAACATTTATTAAATGGGTCATATGATGTTGCTAAAAAGAACATTATTTTGTGTATTTGGTGTAATGAAATGTGTTTATGCGGTTTAAGGTTCAAAAAACACATTATTTTCCACATACTGTACATTATTGTCTCTCCTCCTCTAAAGCTCATCAGTCTGAAAAGCAAGGTGTGTACCAAACAAAACCAGTAAAACCCATTATAAACGAGGCATTTGTTGCATACAGTGGGGACATAATTACGGATTATAATGACTTATACTGTCTTTTTACGTGTTATGCAAATCTTCCCACACAGTGACGTAGACATGTGGGTGTGTTTGAACGAGGGGTTTTAGGAGGGCGTGGACGAGTCTTAAATTTTATAAAGAATATCTCTTTGGGTTTGAGACTTTAGTCTTTGCAACTTTAGGGATCTTATCTATTCACGAACAGCTTGTAACACTCCAAAGAGAAAGGAAAACTTGAAATCGCATCATATGACCCATTTAAAATAGCAGTAATAATAATAAAAAAAATATTGTTTTAAAATTTTATAATATTTCACATTATTGCTGTTTACTGTTGTTTTGACATCAAATACATGCAGTCTTGGTGTGAATAAAAAACTTAAAAAATCTTACCAACCTTAAACTTTACATATATCTGACTCGGCTCAAAATCGTATCATCTGAGAAGGGTGTCAATACCAGGTGTAAACAGGGTTCATGAGAAGCCAAACGATGGAATTGATATATCTAGCTTATCAAATCCTCACATCCTACCTAATGCTCTGTTATTGTTACGGGGCTGACGAGACGTGAGACGTGCGGATCCATCTGCAAGGCTTTATTGTGGAGAAGACAGAGACGTGGTCATGAAGCAGGCAGGGTCAAACAGAGGCAGACAGGTATATGGTGGGCAAGACACAAGAACAGTCCTAGGGCTAGCGTGGGTCGACGATGGGCAGACAGAGTCAGAAGGGGCAAGATTAAGGGAGAAATCCAGGAAACCAGGCGAAGATCAGAAACCGGGAAAACAGCTAGGCTAGGGCTAGGGCTAGGGCTAGGGCTAAGGCTAAGACTAGGGCTAAGGCTAAGGCTAATGACTAAGGCAAATGACTAAGGCAAATGACTAGGGCTAATGACTAGGGCAAATGACTAGGGCAAATGACTAGGGCAAATGACTAGGGCAAATGACTAGGGCAAATGACTAGGGCAAATGACTAGGGCAAATGACTAGGGCTAAGGCAATGACAAGGGCTCCGTAAGGTTGCTATCTCTAGGAGAGTGATAAACGCTGAAACAATACTCGGCAGAGGGAAGGGATCAGAGTGAGTGTTAAATAGTGAGGGAGTGATATGAAACAGCTGGGTGCAATCAGTGTAAACAGGTGTGTGCAATTCGTGCTGAGTGCAATCAGTGCAATGCATGATGGGAAATGTAGTCCGGGGTGATGTGCAACAGTGTGTAGTGCGAGAGTCAATGAATAGGAAAGTTCGTGGACCGGATTCGTGACAGTTATACTGTACCTTCTATACTACTAATAAAGTAACTTGGGCTAGGCAGCAGTATGAAACATCAAGCGATAAATTACAAGAGCTGTAGAGGAGTAGACTGGAGTGCGTTTTTCTAGATCTGTATTTCTGGAACATTTGAAGTGTCCCCCATTTCACAGCATAATTTTTCTTGAAAATGTGCTTGTTAAGTGAGTTCTTCTCATTAGTATAAAAGTAAGCTGTTCTTCCATACTTGCTTTTTTAAATTTGTTTCAGTCTGTCCTAGTTTATTTTTTTCCTCTTCATTTTCCCCACAATCATGCTCGGAATAGTTTAAAGAAACAGTTCATTCAAAATCAAACTTCTGTCATTAATTTATTCATCTTCATGTCATTTTAAACTCATATTCTTTTCTTTCTTATATGGAACACAAACAGAAAAGTTTCAAAGACTATTCACAGTAAATTCACATATATTTCCTTTTGAGACCAAGTCTTGAAGTTTTTAAAAGACATGATGGTGAGTAAATTATGACAGAAATTTAATTTTTTTGAGTGAAATATTCCTTAACACTTAACTTTCTCTCTCCATTCTCTTTCTCTCCCCAGGGCAGTTCTTGATTCTGACACACTTTAGCCTTTCAGTCTCACCTCTGAAGAACTGCAGACTTCCATTTATGCATGCTCTGTCTATCTTTCTCTCTCTCTACTACTATTTATCTCCCTTGATCCCTCTCTCTAACCATGTATTTTTGTGAAAAGAGGTAATGGACAGATCTGCCCAATTACTGAGCATGTTCCCTCTTTGTCCCTGACCCCTAACTATTCCACTTGACCTCCCAGCATGCACTGTTTCAGACAGAGTCAGGAAAAAAAGAAAGCGTAAGAGAGAGAGAGGTCCGCATGAGTAAAATCTATTTGAAGCAATATATTTGCATTTCAATGTAAAGACAGGTTTCTAGTATATATGGTGCATGCAAATATTTAAATCTTAAACATTTAAAATGTTGGCCCAAAAATGGATGCTGGGGAAAAAAAGAGCTAAGAATTCTTAGCTCAGAATTTCACCTTGACAGTAAAGAACAATCATGTAAGGATTTCGAATAAATAAGAATTACATACATTGGAGGAAGTTGTAGTCTGAGCAATCTGAATGATTTGTGAGATATCGTTAACTTGTAGAGCCTCTTACTGTATTATCAAGACAGAACTGTAATAAAAGTGGTTTTATTAACCAAAGAATAGATAAGAGTAACTAAGAACTACTAAATGGATACAGTGAATGGATAAAGTGTAAAAGATTGATAAATGCAAGTTGGATGTTACTATGGGCATTATCTTATGGAAAGATAAACTGAAGTTTCCTGAAAGTAATAAGGTAAACCTTATTAAGATTCAACAAGTAAATTGAGAGATCATTTGTTATTAACTGACATCAGCTATATAAAATATAATGCAAATTACACACTAATGCCAAGGGTCTCTGGGGAAGAGGTTTGGAAAGAGTGATATTTACGTTCCGCCTGGTCATGTGCTGAGTCTAAGCGGCAACGTCTTCCACTTGTTGATCTGGGCCACGTTGCAGTGTGAAGAAAGGAGCTGGATTCGTTTCAACACAATTCGTCTTGAGCACGAAGCACTAATGAACAATGAAGTCCTGAGCACCGAGAAGGTCTTAGGAACATGCAAACGGAGGAGCCTTGAAGGTGAAGGTTCTGAAGTCTGTGCAGAAGATCCGGACAGTCTGGAACATGCAGAAGGAAGGGTCGCTGACGAGACGATTCTGACGTTGGTGGAGACGATGTGGGATACTAAGCTTGTGGTCCTCATTGCTGTTGCGGTTTCCAATCTCGCCAAATTCACTTCTTATAGATCTTCCTTGTTTCTCCTTAGAACAACTTAGCAGCTCTTAGGGCACTTACAGTAGTAGCTACAACAGCTTAGTACATTTATTTGTCTTGAAGAGAACCTTTTATTCTTCCCTGAGAAGGAGGGATTTGCAAGTTGGCACCTTTCAGATCCAGCGTTTTGATTGGCCGATGCTGTCGGAGGTGGCCATGGTATGGCCCCTCTCTGGCATGAGGTTTATTTTCATAGCTTAAAGTCCACGTTTAGAACAATGTCTTTAAGGTTTCCCTATGCATAATTCACTTCCCAAACCAATTTCAGATTAACCAGCACATTGTGCTGTAAATATGAAGACCAAACATCAATGGGTAATGCTGAACAATTACCCATGCATTCATATATTATTGAACTGTTGTATAAAAGTAATATCACACATTTGGAGTGACTCATCTCTCTCTCTCTCACCTACTGCTCTGCAGTTTCAGTGGACTATTGATGCCTGACTGTATTCCTGAACAACTTCAATTTTCTCCTTGCACATCAAGCAGGTCCCATTAAGAGACCAAAATCGACCTGGCTCTGATGTAACAGTCCAAAGTTACTTAAATTAAAATAACTAAATGTATAGAAATCTATTCACACATTCGCTATTTTATTTGAAATCATTTCATGACCACTTAAAATAATTTTAAGTGACACGACTAGTTGCAGCGTGTCAAAAACAGAGTGTGTGTCTATCAACTGAAAGCACATTGTAATGCTGCAGACAGCTCAGTTGATTATAATGGGATTGAGCTTTATAGGCATCTGGTGTAGATGAGCGTAACCAAACTTTTCTGACAGATGTGGGCATGCAGGCTTTGTTGTCTTTTACAGATGTGCAACTACATGTGTATTTTAAGTCTGTAATAAATCATGTGGAAAAATACATGGATATAAGGCTACTAACAAGTAGGAAAACTGCTGTATGATATAACACTATAGGCCAAAGCAAACGCAAAAAAAAGGCAGAAAATTGATTTATGGGCCAGATTTAAAATAAACTATAACACTTAAGGGACTATATGAAACTATCTTCCATAAGGGAGGCAGTTTTATACCCTTGTCTGAAAGTTTTTGTACACGGATCATGTGTAAATGGATGAATATGTGAGTGTGTTTGCGTATGTACCTGTGACTCTCAGTTTGTCTGTGCCAATACTGATCTCCTCTTCATCAGCAGAGAAGAGAACTGTCTCACCATCACTACTTCTCACTTCGAACCGGTGACACTGGGCTTCTACCATCTCAGAGCCTACAGAAAGGGATAAAGAAAGAATAAGGCCTTGAGAAACAAGATCATAACACATATTTTAACCTTTGCAGCCCATATAAATCAGCTCTAATCAGGAATGGTCTTCATGTGATGGACAAGGGGGACATGAAAAATAATGGTGGAAGGTAATAATACAAATAATATATTATTATTATTCAGTACTGTATGCATACAGATAGATTAATTTAAATTAAATTAATTTTCCATTATGATGCTGCCTTAGAAGACAGCTGCCAGTGTTGACAATGATAAAAAAGGAAGCCCACCAGGTCTCTGAGTTAATATTAGAGCTGCTGCTCATTAGTGTTTGAAGACTTACTACAGTGTCAAATTATAGAAATAGTTGTACAATATGCTTAATTAATAAATGTCTCTAGTTAAAAAAGGTACCAAATAGAAATACAAATGATTTCAACCTGAACCTGAATCTTTCAACCAATTCTTGCACCCAAAAAAAAAAAACTGTCCCGAAACACAATTTAGACTGTCCAATAAGTTGTATGCAGCAAATAATTGAATATAAAATGGCGTATATGAATTTGACTCGGCATGAGCCAAGGAAGGGGGAGGGGGTTGGGGGAATTGCTTTTAGACCATAAGGTTAAAAAGGTATAAGCAGAAATATGTGTGCAAATTTGGCCTTTTGGTGGCGCTAGAGAGTTTGAGATAGATACTCCAAATTTGCCATGGTTAATATTGACACTGTCCTCTATCTGTGTGCCAAATTTCATAACTTTCCCGCAAGCAGTTCTATGGGCTGCCATAGACTTCCATAGAAGAAGAAGACGAAAACTAACAGATGCAAGAGGTGCCTAAGAGGTGCCTTGGCCCCTAATTACCAACATGTGGGAAGAGTTTCAAATACAATGTTATCCAGGAAAAAAAAAACTCATTGGAAAGTTCTTACAAATAATAGCAACATGAATACCAATAATATCAACATAATCCCACAAATTCCTCTATGTTGCAGTTTACTATGGAAAGCCTTTCTTATTTAGACCCTGATGCATGATTATGAATTAGAGAAAAAGCTGAGTTTGTGTTTGTGTTTGTTTCACGCAGGAGGCTGATGTGAGAGATGTGAATGACTGATCTTGACTTTATTCACTAAGTGTGACTTGGCCTATATATATATATATATATATATATATATATTACACTGTCACTGGAATCTCAGTAGCTTTTAATGCACTGCCCCAAACAAACACTGCAATGGCTTCACTGACTATATTATTCATCACAGCTATCGTATCTTCCATGTCTTAGGTGACCTTGGAGAGCAAACTTGGCTTTGTTTGTTTGCCCACATTATGCGTGTGTGACAGAAAGTAAACTTCTCTTTTTTCCTAAAGCCCACTCTCCCCTTTCTCAGCCACCCTCTATTGTCTTTCTAGCCCTATTCATGCATTCATTGCCTGTCCTCTCATTTTTTTCAGTGTTTGTACTATAAGACACCCTGCCCTTTCTCCAAGCACCCTATGGCAAAGAGAGCAGTACATTAAAGTAGAATATAACAATGCAAAGTTTGGGATTTAATTTAGGCAACTTTTCCAACATGGTTTTCTTTATATTTACTATCCACCTTTTGGATGTAATATTAGAACGTTATATAGATTATTGATACTGTATATATGACAGCACCTCTCAACTTGCCAATAGTTTATTAATAACGTTTCCATTTTAAAAGTAATTTTATATATTTAATTTTAAAATATTTAATTATTTAACCAAATTAATTTATCTTTACAAACTTTTGTATTTTCAGTTCAGTAGCCAGTTTTGTCCCAATGTCTCAAAAAGCACAGCTGACATACTTATTTCAGTTTGGCATCTGAAGGAGCCCCATATCAACAGTTGATTGAAGCTGTTGTTCCTGCTGTGCTTAAACATCATTTCACAGACCTAAAGAAACAAATGTAGAGCCCATCTTCAGATCTTGAAGTTACTTTTTTTTAATACAAAGAGATTTGGTGTTGATTATGTTAAATATATATAAAAAAAGAAACATGTTCATTAATTAATTGTTTTGCATTCTTTTCTCTTATAATTATGACGATCTGTTGCATATCAGTGAAAGTCTCACATCATTTGATATATTTTAAGGAAAACATTACTGGGAAAAAAGTCACATTTCCATTAATTATGTTGGATAGTGATTAAAGATGTGCTTGAGGATAAGGCAAGGCTAAATTTGATTATGCTGATGAGATCAAGAGGAGAGAATGCTAATAAATTGTTAAATTATACTCATATTTTAATCTCCTCTTGACCATATCACTGCACAGCGGTGGCCAGAGATTTGCTCATAGATCCACTACAGAGCATGATAATCTTTAGAGAGGAATCGACAGAAACACACCACAGGATTATAAAGGGACAGATTTGCTTCTTTCGTGAAAAAAAAGAGCTATGATAATGAAAGTTTTGATTTGTGTGGTTGTAGCATATCAGAAAGACTAAGCAGTCTGTGCATCCACCAGAAGAACTGAAAAACTATTTTAAAATAAATATTGATTTAACGTGGCCACACTGAAACAGGAAGCAGAGATTCTAAACTAAAGAAAAAATATGGTTCATTTAACAATTGCACATGATCGATTTTGTGCAAAAAAATCTCTGGTGGCCCAAACATTAAGATCTTGCAATTATGAAAAAAAAAATTAAAGCTTCTTAGGTCAAAATATAGCCTACACATTAAATAACAAAATGTTTATTAGACCTCATTGATTCATAATTAAAGCCATGTTGTTCACAACAGGTTATTACCTCATATTCGTTTGCATCACATTTAATGTTTGCGTGCTTCAAGAGCTCAAGGTTTGAGTGCTTGATTACTTCAGTGATTGTTCTCAGTGAATGTACATGTAAGGAGTAAATACTCATTATTTGGACAAGGACATCCTCACTTTCATAAAGCCTTCCAGACTGCACCACCTCACGGATCTCACAGAGCCTCTCATCCAGGTGATTTAAATGAGAAATGATGTGCACTGGATATTAATGACGTGCTCTTGAATATTAATTGATACTGATTTACCTCTCATTAAAACTGAGGAATAATGATTAATGGTTGTTTTGAGGTTGGAGGAAATTGAAACTTTCCCTTGGAGTGAAATGGCAAAAAAAAACTTGCTGTGGAAAACCAGATGGTGTTAAAATGAAGAGATGCTTGTTGCATTTCACAAATAATGTTAAAAAAACTAACATTTGTTAAATGTGTCAGTTGAATTCAAAAATTACCTTGAGGAAAGCATTGAGCGTGATCAGTCAAAGCCTTCCATAGAATAGGATGGAAATGCATTATAAAGGTGGCGTCACAAAGGTTTTGCGATACTACAGCGTTTCATACAACAAGGGGTTTTCAAACTGGAGTCAAGGAGTGCTGGGGGGTCAGTGGAAACATTTACAGAAATAATAGTGTTAAAAATAAAAATATTTTTAAATATAATATATGAGCAATATCACATGTATGATATCTCTCTACATCAGCATGACTGTAATACAGCCGTAGACGCGCAGCCACATAGGCAATCACAGCCATGCTGATAGAGCAACAAAAGGCTCTCTCATAAAAGTAAATATCACATTTAGGGGTCCATGGCAGAAAAAAAAGGGTTTGAAAACCCTTGTTTAACAATACCCCTTATAGTCAGATAAAAATGTGCTGTAAATACACTGCTTTATTATCATTCCAGCTACAGCAAGAGGTTTAGAAGTTAACAGCTGGGCTTGGATGAGGTTGAACATCTGTGTAAAATGTTGTTATATAAAACGTGGAGCTTCTGATCTGAATTGCTTGGAGGTTCTAATCTGACCTTATGCGTAAACAACCTCTGCTGATGCAAGCCAAAGAAATGTCCACATCCTTTTTTTCAGTAAGTCAATCAAACAAAAATAATGTAAGGGCTCTGTATTAATGTAGAGAAATGGTGCACAAAATAACGGCAACAAAATTAAATAAATAAAAAATAAGTAGCAAAGATAAATTATTTTTCCAAACCGGATAATCCTCATCAATAAAAAGGCGAAATGGGTGAATTTTGAACACCTGCATTAATCAGTGGGTGTGTGCGCATGTGTCTGGGTGTGGTTTGTGGACAGTGTAAAGAGACAAATAATCAGAGCTGTTGTCATAATCAGCAAACACAGCCCTGAAGACTGATGCGTGTATTTGTATGCATTAATCTCAATATGTCCTTTAGATACACTCTCTCTCTCTCTCTCTCCTTGGAGAGTTTAAGCTCACTTCCTCGAAGTGGTAATGTGGCATTGCAAATGATGATATTCATTTAAAACTAGCAATTTATTCTGGCTAATTTACACAACATAAAACAGCACATTACATTTCTAAATGTTCCTCTACATGCATGCACACTTTACCAATGTATTCTTATCATGATTAATTACTTGGAACTAATCACTGAAATCACTGGATTTTTGGTGCTGTGGAAGGTTTCATTGGTGACTTGAGCACTTTCAGGTGGCTGTTTTTGAAATTTCCAGGTATATCTATATTTAAATTAGCTACCCTTATGGATTGCAGTGGATGCAATGGAGTAAAAACTTTAGAAATAATAATATGTTGAGCTCTCCTTGACTAAATGAAATTCAAATACATACATATGTAACTTATTCTGATGACATATCATCTAGAATTGTTGTCCTTGAAGAGATTAAATGCACCAAGCAGATCACTGTGTGTGCACCTTTTTAATGTCATGTCGATGTAAAGTATTAAACTGCAATTTAGCAGAGTCAACCACCGGTCCATGTTTGGCTGGTTAGCTTGATATTGTTAGCCCCTGTTGGTAGATGCCGCTTTCAAGAACATTTCGGTTGGGTTCGTTGAGTTCATTTAGAGTAGAACGCAATTTGTAATACCTAATCAAAACCCCATAATATTTATAAAAAATGTATACAGTAATTTAACATTTGTGTATAAGCAAGCAGACTAACTGGCTACACTAGGTGTTTAAATA